AGAAGTGACAGGCGTTACAAACGGAGGCGGAGATGAAAATGAAGGGATTGAAGAGGAATCTTTTCTATTGTTTTTATATAATCTGATCTTGTCAAAATTATTTCTGTCGTAAAATTAAAATAAAATCGAAAGAGATGAAAACACCAAAAATTGATTATGCCACGGTATCATTGACATTCACCTTTATGTACCGGCGTCGGAGAAGGCTGAGACTGCTCGTTAGGAATTTCGTCTTGGTCCTCGTAAACATCACCATAATTTTCACCGTGATTCTCCCCGTCTTTCTCTCCCCGATCCTCCGTAGTGTTGTTTATGCTTAACTTATGGCACACTTCGAAAGCTTGCCCGACTGTTCTGACTACCCTCATTGCTTGACTCTAATTAAATCACATCCATCTTATTTTCTCATTTAATCATCTCGCGTGCAATTTCACGAGTACGCAGAACAACATCTGATTATTATAATAAGAATATCATTTAATAAAAGAACAAGATTTTAGAGCAATAAATAATATTACAAAGATACATCAGCGAGCTTCCTATGTCGATAGTTTCTCGATAACTCCATTCAATCGTTTAGAAAAATATAGCTTTCTTCATATTCAGTCAGAATAGAGTAGAGATTTTACCTCGAGTTCATCGAGATCTTCGTTTTCCTCTTCGAAGGGATTTTCGTCGAAGCTGAGGTCGATGCTATTTTGTGCGTGTATCAGTCTCGGCCGTGTAGACGGTTTCCGTAGTTTGAAGAAGTTGAAAGTCTCCGGTTTCTCCTTGAACGAAAGCTTTTTGCGTGGCCTGGGTGTTGTTTCAAAGCCTAGAGGACTGCTAGGACCAGGACTCGCTGGTGTTGACGATTCGGACGAGGCCATTGCCGTGCCTCTTAAAGAATTTTTGAGCATCGCTTACGATTTCTTCTCGCATCCGTTTCGAATTTTCACATGTTCGCAGCTGCGGATGCTATCATCCACCGCGCGATCCTCTTGCAAGCTACATTTTTTTTTTATTTAGATAATTCGTCACTCCATGGCACAAAGGCGAATCGTTTACTCTGAGAGTTTCTTTGAACTTATTTCAGCCTGTCGAGGCCGTAAAGAACGTAAACATGTATGAAACTTTATACACCAAATGATCCGCGGCTAATGTGTATGAGAAATTAAACGTCAAGGATCTGTCTCCTTTATTTTTAAATCTGATATAAAAATCTAAAGATATGTATATATACATATATATATGCCCTAGATGTTTATATCATTTTATTTATCCTCTATATATACCATCTTTTTTATTGTCACATTTTAATCCTTAATAAAATAGAAGTTTGTTTGAAATTAAATAGAATTTTATCATTTGTTCGCATTTCTTGAAAGAGATCGAATTCTTATTAATTTATTATTCTGAGATTATTTGTGCCTTGATAGTCTTCCATAAGATTGTTCATCTCTATCGTGATATAAATCAGATATCTATCAATAACATTTCATTCTGCTTAAATTGATCTTTCAGAGAATTTTTGCGATTCAAAGAACGATGAATTCCAAATATCCAATCTTTCTAATGTTTCCCTACCGGACGTCCTACATGGATGTAATTATGCAAACACAATCTTTTCGTATAAAATAACATGGCTGTCCATCAGGAGCGCGTAAACGTCGATATATGCGAAACGCGCGCGTATTCTACACGAATTACATTTAAGTAAACATTTGCAAACGTCTAAAATGCATTAACCCTGACACCGACCGTCGAAGTAGAATACCGCAATAGCGTTGCATCGACAATTCCTAGTAACTCGTAAGTCGTAACCGCTGATGCGAAAATCGCAGAACTTCATGCTCCCGCCGGATTTTCCGCGTGTTTGCTTTCATTAACAAAAAACGTGCTTCATCCGCGTGTCTTCTTAGCGTATTTATTAATTTATTTAACATCCGCGGGTGCAAATCCGCGATATGCCGCGGATTCGAAGAATCGCGATGTTGGCGTGCATAATAACTGTCTGCACAGACAGTTTTCAATTATAAATAGTCGTCGTGGATTCAATCTGGCAAATTCCCCGCTAAATTGTGTGTAATTTTGAAACTGTTGTCGGTTGCCATCCTGAGAATAGCCGCGTCATTGTTGATTCTTTTGACGCGTCGGATAATTGATTTTAGTTTAAAAAATTTCATTCTAGTTTTCATATTGAAAAAAATAAAATAAAATAAAATCTGCAGACGAAAAATGATATTTGATCACCATATTTTTTATCTATCAAAATACTTACGACTGTTACTAAAATGCATTTATATCTTTCTCTGTCGCTTCTTTGTATAAAGATAAAAAAACAACAATGTTAAAGATTAAAAATAATGTAATTCCTAAATGTAAATTCTACATATTTATATCCCGCTTTCGATTCTTTCATCTTTCTGAAAACGATCCCAAGTAACAAACTGTAATCATTTTGACGTCGATAGTTATTTTGAATTATTAACGTATTATTATGTAATCTATTTAAGATGTAATAACGTTCTTTTTTTACCAATTAATGACGTCATTTATTTATGACGTATTTACAACGTTATACTTATTGACTTCAGATAAATGACTAATCGATGACGTATTGGTAACGTTATTAGATCAATCGTCATTTATTTACGCCGTTAATAATACGAAAATAATGACGTATTTTTGACGTTGCTTGATGTGACGTTATGTGACTGTGACAAATCACACGTCACTTTTAGGATGATAGGACGTCAGATTCGTAAAGAATGATCAATTAATCACGTCAAATAAAGCTATCTTGGTATTTGGGATGGATGTCATAAAAAATGAATACTCAGTAATAAGCGGATCATCTTTACAGAAATCCAACTTAATACTAGTCAATTTAACGCTGAAACATAGTGATTAAAGTATTGAGTATTAAAAGCACTTGTTCAGTACTTGACAATTAATTAATCATTTCCTTTCAGTATTAAATTTCTGTAAGGGCAGTGTGTATATAATTTGAGGGGTTCATCACGAGATATATTGTTGAGTCAACCGTTTTGTAAAGAAACTAACACCAGCTATTTTTCATATCATTCTGCGGGAAACAAACTCGCTTATAATATACAAAGAATAAGAAAAAAAAAAAACAAATTGTGACAAAAAGTGGAGGAAAAACGCAGTCACAAGTATCCTACGGTGAAAACTATTAATTTTAAACTAACAATTTCGTATGATGATTTAAGTTATACGTCTCTTTAAATATGAGAATTCATCATCGATCAGTAATATCCGAGCAACGAAAACAAAAGGCACATCTGCAGACAATAACGCCTTCGGTAAAAAATGCACGTTACATATCAAATTGTTTTCCTGTAAGGCTGCAAACGCACGCACGCACGCACGCACGCACGCACGCACCGAGAAGTTACAGCCTCTTCTTAACCAGGGAAGGTATGAAAATAAACTCGTAAATTCGCGTCTCACTGTAGGTCGATCGTCAAAAATCACTGTACGCGCTCACCTCGTCGGGCACGTCTTATTACGTCGCCGCGCGCGAATCTCTTACCGTACGCTGTCATGTTACGCGTAATAACGCTCGCGATCGCGCGCGTCTCGTAATCAAACAATCCTATTTCCACTCGCTGGCCACTCCGCGCATCTCTTCATTCGCCCCCGATCGTTCGATCACCAACGAGACGTGATGTTTAATCTCGCCGCTTGCGCAGAATCACATTTCCACACGCGAGATCCATCAGCGGGAGGTCGTCGGCGCGTCGTTCCACCGGATTCGTTTCGTGTGTTCGGATATATATATATGGGGGGGTAACGAGATGAGGAGATGGGGGGAGAAAGAAAAGGAAAAAGGGGGGAAAAAGAGGGAAACGCGGCCACTCCGCGATTTGTGTACAAGTCCTCGCGAACGGGAACGCGAGAGCCGAAGTTAACCGTGCGGCTTCCTACCGTGGTTTCTTGGCCGGCGCGACGGCATGCAGAGGCGTACAAGCATCACGTCGTCCGTCGGGGCTATACACGCTTAGCTGGATTTTTCCTCCGGTTTATTTATAAGCGCATTAATATTCTCGCTTTCGGCTCGCTCAATGGCACCTCCCTTTCTTTCTCTCTCTCTCTCTCTCTCCATCCAAACTCGATCCTCGGTTACGACGCGTCCGTCTTAAACAATTGATCGGTTTCGTATTTTATTAGGAGACGTTCCTGTTCCGCACTCTTTCTTTTATCTTCTTTCCTTGAGCATGGCGAAGAATAAGCGCGAGGAAGCTACCTCGTTGATTTACTGACCGCTGTTCTCTTAACTGGAGTAGTAAATGGAGTGAATAGCGAAGAGTAAATAGCCGGGAGAACTTACTTGATTCTAGATTTAAATCGATTATTTCTAATATACGATTCGTAGGCGATCCGCTAGCTATGCTATGTAGAATCGAGATATAGACAAGCGATTATTCTCGGATTAACTGCATTGTACAAGTTGCTCAAGCAATTGCGTACATTATTCCATTATCATCTTAAAATCCAGTATTATGAATTCAATTTTTTTTTCAAGACTAAATATCGGTTGTGAAAATATTGATTTATTACGTATTTTAATTCAATCATGCAAATTTTATCTCTTCTTTTTATGACACTACAGATATTTATCTTTCGGAGCTAACGTGGGTCCCGATTACATTCTTTGTTATCTGCAAATTTGAATTATTGTTACTAAAATAAATTTAATATTCATTCTTTTTTATACGAATTATGTAATTTTGGTTTCTTCAAATTTAATTAATATCTTTTAATCAACATATATTAAATAGATCTCACAGACTCAGTGTTAGTAAATTTGTAACAGTGTTAGAAATTTCGAGTGTTAGCTTCGGAAAATTACTCAAGCATCGTGACGATTTTTATCACTTATTATTAGTTTTTGTACAAACAATCTAATTTTCCCAAAATAATTTTCCGCACATACGATTTACAGTATTTTTTTTTTCTTTCTCAAAAGAGTATAAATAACTTCTCCAACTTACGCGTTCCGTCTATTCTCTTATTACGCCTGTCAGCCTTTCTCTATCGCGGGGAGATTGATGGAAATTGACTAGACTGAAGAAGCGTAAGCGGCTCGATGGCTTTGTACTTCTGTTTCTGTGTCCAAAAGTAAATCGTGAATCCAGAGTATGGGGCGTACGGAACGAGGAGAACGCGGAAAGCGACGCTCGCGAAATTCGCACGACGTATGCTATTCTACAGCCCACCCCGACGGTGCGGCACGTCATTTAACGGTCGACCGTTCGAGAACTCTTATATCCCCCGGTTGATAAATTATATATCGTCGCGTGTCAAGCCTTCTCCTGTGACAATTCGCAATTATCTTACATAGCTTCCGAAGTGTATACGCCCCCACGTATCGACCAAGTGAGTGTAACAAACTCGTCTGGAAATCCTTCGAGTTCATAAACGTAGTACATAAAATTGTTGCATTACATTGTCAAACAAATTCACGAACGGTTGAAGTTCAAAGTGGAAATGCGCCATTTGCGCGGACGGCAATAAACGAAAGACTTCAAGAGAAAACGGCCCAAAGAGGCAACAGTTCCAAAAGTAAACGACTTTATACATAAGCCTGAGTTCCCGTATCGTGGAAAAGGTAAGGTGAAAAGAATGAAAGTTCCGTCCATTAGCAAAGTGTACAATAGTCGCCGAGAGTTTTCATAAAGTTGAAGTAAACGATAACAAATAGGGCGACTAGCAGCAGGGAAAACGAGAAAAAGCTTTTCGGAACTTTTGCCCGATATCGCAAGTTCAAAACTTCGGCCAAGGCGGATATTTCTGCGGCATCCTAGATATATCGTCGCCAGTTATTTCTGGATTCACCTAGATTTTCAAAGCGACCGGAATCCCCAAATAATTCAACAAAGGAGAGGCACGAAATGTCTACCGAAATGTTCACCGATATCTGTTGGGCATAGAAGAAGTGCCAAGGATGTGCGTGTGTGTACGAGAAGCAACGGGTACGTTAAAAAAATCTCTCCATTTCGTTTTTCTTTTTCATTTTTTTTTACTCGTTATTATTTTATATTCATATTTTATATACAGGTCTTGCCCTAGAATATTAATAAACGCCTTTACTCTCTAAATTTTTTTTACAGTGGAATCTCACTCTAAAGAGTGAAAATTGAACCAGTCTTGAAAAAGAGTGACTCAATTTTCAATCTTTAAGAGTATAAGACTTCATTCTTTTGTGACAATTTATTCTAAAAGTTTTACAGAGTATCTATACCTATCATTCTATCAAAATAAAAATCCGTGGTGCAAAAATCTTTTCGAAATAACTTTGTACTCGCCAACGATTCGGAAATGCGAAACAAAGGTCGGTATTCATAGTCCGTTCTTATTTGAAGATCGTTTTAAATAATGTCTTAAGATGCTAATACGGATCTCTGATTGGTTCGTGACGTCTTAAGACTTAAGACGGTCTTAAATATAAGAACCGACTATGAATATCGGATACTCTGAAAATTCTGTCGCAAATTGACTTTTCTTCTTGCTCCACCTGGAGAACGTTCCTCCTGCGAGAGTTTCCTGAGGAGTTGTCGGACACCAGTCGCCAGCCCGCTGATATCGCGGAAGATCGTGCCGTTCTATACCTCCCCGAACTATTTTAATAACTCTGTGCCAAACGGCACTGAGCCGCCACTGCAAATACGCGACAAAACGACACGTCCCTCCGTCACCGCGGTCTCGTGGTCTCGTTACGCGTTTCCTCCCCGTCGCAGTCTTACCGGGCCATCCCTCCATCCACGGCACCCACGCAAAAAGGCGAAAATACACTCTCACTTCGACAGGGATGCAACGCGGACGGTCCCACCTTCCGTCTCCGCGACGAGGAAATAATCGGCGAGGAGGAGACGGCGGGATGCCGTCGAGGAGCCGCCCGAATTTATTTATAGGTTTACAATAACGTAAGTTGATGAAGCGCCAGGCGACGAGTTACGTGAATTGTCGCGACGCGTATGTATGTACATACGAGCCACGCACGTGCGCGATGTGTAAATCTTACGCCGGTTGTATAGATGAAATGAATCCGTAGAAATAGAAAAAAAAAAATCGGTGAGGATTGTCTAATCGAGATATTCAATCGGGTTTCGCCTGATTACATGTCAATTTGTTATCCTTACTTTTTTAACGTAGCTGTATATAGCGAGATATAAAAGAGTAAATCCTAAAAAGTAATTTCGTATTGCGTGATTCTTTCCTAATGTAGTTCGAGATCATGTCCGACATAGGAAGCTCAATGATATGTACTGAAGATTAATTACTATCGGAAATAAAATTGATACTCACCTTTTTGCTGGATTTGAAGACGTTACATTTGAAAGTATTACTGCTCCCGTCACGGGCGATGTAACTAAATATTTTTAAATCGTGGCTGTCGTGCGAAACGTAAAATATCCTAAAGAAAAAAAAAATACATTCAGTATTTGTTTTATTCAAAAATTATCCAAGTCATCTAAATTACGCATTATTTTCCGGATTTTTCATGTAATATATCGTGATATTTTTACAATAATAATTTCATTATTTTTATGCGATATTTTTCATCGTTATTATTCATGTACCAATATTTCCATATTTCGTACGAGTATCATGTAAATTGCAAAAAGATTTAATAAATCAATAAAGAAAAAGTACTAGTTACGATAAGCAGGCGATCTCACCTGTAAATTGGATGATGCATCAGATATATTTTATTCTCGTCCATCCATTGCTGCTGTTTCTTCTGTAAAAAGATCACGAATGGCGGGTCATTACTTAAAACATATTATTAGTTGATATATTTTTTTTTGGCTGTTACCGCTATCGGTTACGGTATGTAAAGCATCAAAAATATACGAGGCGCCAATGTGCATCAGCGAAGACAACGTGGCGCTTGTCCAAAATCATTTCTCGTTATAAATCTCAACTGTTACGAAATGCACGTCATCGAATGTACGCGATTTTCCCCTCTTATCTTGCCGCCCCTCCAAGTATTCGCGAATGACGTCCTTATTTTATGCGGACGTCGTGGAAATCTTTCGATGTCGCCAAGAAGAATTTTCGCATACAAGAATTGTGCTGATGTAGCAAGCAAACGACGAAATCGCATGTAGAAAATATATTTATCAACGTAACTCCGCAGAAAATAGAAATTAGTTAAATTAGAAACAGATTTTATGAGACCGCAGTAGATTGCGATAAGAATAGAGAAATGTAGAGAAATGTTATTTTTAACACAAACACCGGGGATTGAGAATTCTTTTATCGATTATTTAATCGAAGCTGCGAATCTTAAACTATTTAATTATAAATCTCTTTGTCATAAAATGTCAAACAATTCAATTTTATTGATCAACATCACTCATCATTCAATCTATGATATATTTGCAGAATTCTTTCTTACAGATAAATAAATTAAATAAATAAATATTAAATAAATAAATTTAATGAATTAATTAAAATGTATAATACATTCATTATTTTTTAAATGTCATTTTAATTCCTTGAAATTAAGTAATACCTTTTAATTAATTTATATTAAATGGATCTCACAGAAATCTCTCCAGTCTATGTTACAAATTTTAACGTCAACTTCGGAAAGTTAAATCATACAAATCCGCGTCAGCGTGTGTAATATATTCCTTTTCTCTTCATTTCTTTTTGAAATTATTCTTTTGAAATATACTATTGAGTCTAACAAACTCATCTCATTCGCTTGTGTATGTACGGGAATTAGCTTATCCGGCTTAGGGGTTAACGAGATGATTTGAGATTAGTGAAACAACGAGCGAGTAGCAACATAATTCTTCAACAAGGATTACCTTCTTTTTCCTTAGGGTCACTTTCAGCCCATCCACTGAGACCTCCAGCGTCACTTTCTTTTTCTTGATCCCTTTGGCCTTAAATTCGTACTGTGAATCAAACGAGTCCAAATTACATGAAACGATCCGCGGTTACGAAGACAAAACTGTTTCTCTAACTGGGTTAATTAGCTATTACGCGTACTCACGCGGATTCTTCGCATCGCCGCCACGATCTCCACTCGGCTAGTCGGTCGCGGAACCTCCATAGAGCCGATGAACTGAAAAGGAAGAAATATAGCGGTTCGCTGAGATAACAATTGGCTAACAATTCGTTGGATGAAGGATAGAATAAATAGTACGTATCTGAGTGACACGTCGTCATACACGGATGTGTGTTCTAAAAATGATCTTTATATTTGATTTTAACATTTCTATTTTTTAAGTTTCAATGTGTTCAACAAAGCTTTATGTACAATACTTCATGTTCCAATGATGATTAACAACGCTGTATCTTTATCAATTTGCGAGTGGCTTAAGCATTATGGACATGTGAGCTAATTATATTATTATATCATTATTATATTATTATTATATTATTATTATATCATATTATTGTATCATTCTTGCTGAGGAGGACTCCAAAGAGAGTCGAAACGTTCAAAATAAAGAAGATATTAATCCAATATCTGATTATTGATTGTTCACTAAATAATTGCGCCGTTTATCATTGCTGACTCTCATTAGCCTACTATATTTATCTTTTCGTATTGTTTAAAATTCGAAAGTCCTAATATGATTATTGTTATTGTATAAATAGTACGACTTGTCTTTCTCTTCAGGAAAATTGCATTTATTTATTATCTTGACAGGTCGCGAAAGATTCAATGTAGTCATCTCGCGCGGTCGTCGATCCATAGTTCATTTCAAAAAATTAAAATTAATTCTCTCAATACTCGAAGAGTGACAATACAACTGGCATAATGAAATCTCTCGAAATATCTCCCCCCAGCAAACTAAAGAAAACGAAAAAAAATTTTTTTAAAAGTCTTCATCTTTTTTTAATTTTAATAATTGGAAAAAAATGAAGAACAAGTATTGAACCGAGAAGATTAAAATTAATCTACATTGGTAGAAACGGGCATCGATCAACGCGTTAATTTTCCGATAATTGCCTAGATAAAATAAATGTTAGAAACCTTGCAGTGAGATCTCGATAACATACGGAGCGTCCATTTGTAGTAAACAAAAACGGTTGCATTTGTAGTAAACAAAATACATTATATGTAGTTACGCTACCATAACTATACAGCGGGAGGAGCATCGACGATCTGTATTTAGAATTCCCCCATTGAAAGGGATGGTCTTAGCCACGTGTTCGGGTGATTCGATGTACACGTGGTGTTCTCCCACGCATACGCTTGCGACAGGAAGAGGACGGTCTCTTTGTAAATTTGCGATCGATAGCCGTCTCGGCGTCTTGCGATAACCGAGAAGGAATTGAAGAGAAGCTACTCGTAGTTAAAAAAATCTCGCTTTGACTTCGCGTGTTGCTCATCAGAAAAACCAGTTGAAATCGATCCACGACATATTTCGCTGAATTGAAATAAATTTAGTTATCGGACTTATTTCCTGCATTACAATTCTGTAATGAATACGTGTGTTACTTCGTACGTAGATTATTAATAGCAAAGTTTCTCTCTCTTTCTGCGGAGTATATCGATTTGTATTTATAGCCCCACTAAGAGCTAAAATCTGATTCTTGAACAGCATTGTGCGCACGATTCTCATATAAGACAAATTGCAGACTCCAGCTGAGTTTTAATACTAAATATAAACACAAATATGATTGATGGTCTATTAATTTACTTAGCATTTCAGAATCAGTTTTTTTGCGACAAATATCTATGAATTAGACAAAATAATTTTTTTTTTTAATATTAATAATGAGATTATTTTCTGATTTTATGCCATATTGGAAAGAAACGCTCGAGGGAAAAAATGGAAGGAAAATTCTTCTCGATCGAGACATAAAATTCGCCTGAAGATTCAGTTCACAGGTCGCTCTTTCTCGAAATCGTTTACGCGATATTTTTCCCGGGTTGGCAAATAAACGAGGCGTCGTTCAGAGTTCTATGAACCGAGAAAGTTTAAGAAACGTTAGTTCGGAACTCGCTTTAAAGACGTCTTCCGATACGCGATTCGAGCTTCTACGTAAGCGCGAACGTCAACGACGCGACATAAATCAAAAGTCGAAAATGCTGAAACGGTTTTCGCAGCGCGGCGTGCGGGATTTACGAGCGCGGGGGTGCACACAAAAGCTTCAACCTTTCTCAGGAGAAGTGCCACCGAAATAAACACGTGCACGATACGATGACGTCACGGAGAACGCGAAAGCGGCGAACGGCGTCGTCGTCCAGAAATAAGCCACCTGGTATCGCGACTGTCGTCGCAATTATTGCACCATCAACGACGACGACGACGACGACGACGACGACGACGACGTAAAAATATTATTCCCGAGCACAATCGGCGAATTTCCGAGAATCGATTTCGAAAGACCGGGAAACCCAAGGATATTGTCTTTTCTGATGTTACGTTACTCGTTCTCCGTCATCAGGGAGTGCAGTTTGCGTTCGCCTCGCGATTCAGTACCGTTGCAAAAGGATCGCTTCAAGGTCTTTATTGCCCATCGTGAGAATAATACTAGAAATGATAAGAGAATAAGATACCAACCGCACACATTTCCTTCTCTGTTCCCTCACTTTTTCAAATTCGCTTATAGAGAATTCGGTTGGATGAACTAGTGCATATTAACTCTTAGAACATATATAGTGTGGGTCCTTCAATCGAAATTTCATTTGCTTCGAAGAAAAGAAAAGGGAGAGTTTTATTTAACAATAATTTAACAATATACTAAAGAGATTCAGGAATATACATAGTCTGCGATGTCAAATTTTTATGTAGGTATATTCCTAAATGTCAGAGCTTCAAAATAAAAAAAAAAGGAATCTATCTAAATATTGATCTGAACCGAAATTACAGCTTACAGTGGGTCTTCCAGATCACTGATGTGTTTTCAGAAGGTGTTCTAAGGTTAAAATTGTTGTACACTGATTTAATCTGTAAAAATAAAATGCAAACATTTCGGATTATAAAATACAGACTTAACAGTACAATAAAATGCATTGATAATTTTATTATTTTTGATTTAATAATTCGTTTTTTATATTTACATTAAACGTTTGTACGTGAATCTGTGTACAATGACTTTAATATACACCACGTACTGAATGCATCCAGTCGAATTCACTATTAGAAACACTTAACGCAGCCACGCTTCATTTCGCAATATTGCGCGAAGGTCTCCCTGTGTTCACAAATTTGTCCTTTTTCGCGTCATTATGTCGATAATACTACAAATATCTTACTGAAATGGAACTAAGAAGGCGTGAAAATTCTTTTTTAGCGCAACCATGTCAAAGCAGATGCTTTCGTTCCCATGGAACGGCGGTCAGA